AGCGTTTGATCTTTTTCGAAATAAAGTCAGTCGGTGGCATAAGAGTGGTGAAAAACCAATTCGCCGATTACCGAAATCACGTCAAAAAGTAATGGCATGGGGCGGTATTTCGCGAAAGGGAAAAACACCCTTATTTTGTTTCACAGATATAATGGACGGGCCTTTTTATGTAAGTATACTGCAGACATATCTGCTGCCTGCTGCCCAACAAATGTATGGCAAGAACTGGCGTCTGCAACAAGACAATGATCCAAAGCACACGTCACGTGTTGCTAAGACAAGTGTAATTACGATTTTCTTTCAATTCGACCAACCATGTGAGATAAATTTCACCAAGCAAACAAAAAATATATTAGAAATATGCAGAGACATCGATTTGAACTTATGTCGAACAAACAAGGAGTTTTAATATGTTTTTATATGTTTTAGAGATCAAATATTAAATGTTTAAAATATTTGCAGGTGACATTCGATCGAGCTGACATTACAGGTGATAGTGTTTTATATGTATTGAAATTTTCAAGGGTCATTACTTATGCACCTTACTGTATCTTTGAATATTTTGTATAACAAAACTCTTTTGATGAAAAACATCACTTTTATACTAACCAAACTAGTCCCCCTGTGCTACTCCGTGTGTAAAATATGCTGTATGTACCATCGTCAGTTACAAAGTGTCGGAATTAATGACCATAATCGTATCGTTATATCCGGTCTTGACTACAACTCTTGCTTATTGGTAAATTCAATGCTGTATGTAACAGTGAACATTGAGACGGTATTAACACTCGAAAACTCATTCAAACGATGTCGTTAGCATCAGAAACTGTTAATAATCCTGCGATTGATAACTTGGTGCAATTATCTTTAGAAAGTGAAGATAACCACTTCAGACTTGAATGGGTTTCTTACGAGCAAATTGCTGACATAGAGCCAACTGAAATTGACAACGTCCATTACGCTAGTCGTCACAAAGCTGGCAAAATAACGCTGGTATTCATTGGAAACAGCGAAGAATGTACACCAGCATTTGTGAGTGAGTTTGCTAGAATATACTCGCTTCCGACGCACATGTACAATAATGATGACAGTCAGTTTAGACGACATTCCAAATGGCTTGAGTATCGCAATTCTTCGATACAGGGATTTACCAAGTATAATGACAAATATTACATGGTTGCTTGTGCAGACTTTTACCATTATTATTCTCGATATGGATTATGCTCCGCATGTGGGATACTTCGATGTAGCCCAGTGTGGTGCATTTGCGGTCATAAACAGTTATCTGATGGATGGACTAGCAACAATAAGCAGCTCGACGAGTTTATTCGGAAATCTCAGTTACAAACAAACTCTGCAAATGATGCCTATTTGGAATGGATTCCATTCCATAGTATTAGTGGTGGGGGAGATAATGTATGTATGTATAAGCTACCTATTCAGAGTTGGGTTACATCGATCTCACTTGATATAACAGACGAGACACCAGATTCATATTATGTCGAGGTAAAACTATTTACTTATGCGTCATGTTTAATGAATAGTTTAATTTATTGTTATGTATCATTTGCACTAGTTATGTGATGAGCATCCAGAAATCCTTACCACGAATGTTTGGTTTACCATCGGATTTACATATAATGCAAGCACACGAAAGTATTGTCTGCTAAAATCAGAAGGATTATGTCTGGCATGTACAGCTCCATATGGCGTTTATATAGAGGCATTCTGTACCCATTGTAAAGCACCGCGACCACGAGATTGGACTACAGGCAACAAGCCATTAGATTTATTTATTATGGAATCATGGAAGAATACAGTGAGTGAATATGATGCGTATATACAATGGATCGATTATTCGCTATTGACAAACGTACACGAGATGACATCATTACGACATGGATGCACGCATATGGCGGAATGGTTAGAATCGACACGTGTGACACTCAAAAAGATAACTGACGAACAAAACAATTCATTATTTGATTTCCATCAGGTAAGTTATTTTACGTGTAAAATGCAAATAGTATTACTGACGTTTACATCGCGTTTATGTCATAACGACTGTATTTGTTTTCTCAAATAGCTAACGAAAGAATACCCCGAGATATTAACACCGGATAATATTTGGATACTTGGAATCACTCAGAATCCATCTACTCGGGAATATTGTTTAGTTTTCTACTACGATGTACATGCATTATTGGATAGGTTTATGCAACATAACAAATATGTACGGTACATGCGGTATAGTGACTTTGATGAAATTAAAGAGATCGGATCTGGTGGTTACGGAACAGTTTATACTGCCAAATATAGAAATTATTCGGAAGAACATACAGACGAAATCGTTGCACTCAAACGGTTTAAGAGTTTTGATGACATACCAGAAGTATTTATCTCCGAGGTAAGCTATAATAATAATTGATATTATTGATTAAAGTAATATTTAAATTTGACATTATCTACTTTGTTTTATAGTTCAGAAATCATACCAAGTGCACAGGTCATACTCGTTATAGTTATTCTTCATTCTTTATTGTTTATGGAATCACACAAAATCCAGAAACAAAAGAGTACGTGATTGTTATGAAATATGCTGACAGTGGTAACCTTTTGTCTTATCTGGATCAAAATATCAACAGCCTGACGTGGAAAGATAAATTGCTGTATTCGCTTAGCAGTGTATGGTATCTGTGTTATATTCATAATATAGGATTACTGCATTGTAATATTCATGGCAGAAACCTCGTTTTGGATAATAGCCGTATTCCATTCATATGTGATTTTAGTCACTCACGATCAGAGCATTCACGCGAGTTGAATTCTAACATTCGGGGCGATTTACCTTTCATTGCACCGGAAGTCTTCTATACCCGCAAATTCACTCAGAAATCAGATGTCTACTCTTTGGGTATCATTATGTATTTGATTGCTACTGGCGAACCACCTTTTAGAAATAGGCAGTTCGATGGAGATTTAATATGCGATATTATGGGTGGACTACGACCATCGATGCCTGATTCCACACCAGAGGAATATAAGAAACTTGCTGAGCGGTGTTGTGATGCCGATCCTGATAAGCGTCCTGATGCATTGACACTTAAGAATGATATTTACAAGCTTATTGAGGAGCTTGACAAGGATGGCAACATTTGGAACGCCATATATCATAATGATGTAAAACCGTTATCATGTCTCGAGAAGGAGAGCAAAATACTCTAGTATGCTATTATCAGTTATACATACAATCTTAACAACATTTATAATTTAGTGAACTCAAACATTCTGTAGCTCGCAGTTTGTTTACAGCTTATACGGGGTTTACTCAAGGGTTTATTATTCTCTTCTCTGATTAAATGAATTAAATATGTCAATAGAAATGAGTTGAGTTAAAACGATATCGAAATAAAGTCGTGCACATTTACTGAATTGGGGTAGAGATTTGAATATTGTAATATACAGTCAACTACTGTCTATAATCCCTCCGGTTATAGTCGCTATCTGCCTATAGTCACTAGTAGTTTATTGCCAAAACCGCTTTATATAAAATTTCCTCTGCCTGTAGTCACACTTATTAATAAATCTCCTTATAATCCCTATCACCAAAATTTCTGAACAGAATATAATTAATGACCGCTGTCTATAGTCACATCTGATCACGTGTCTTTATTTAATTTTGTAAAACGCGTTGTGAAAGTTGGAAAAAAAATCAACTACTTATTGTATTCCTACAAAAAATGCCAAAAACTGATGTTCGTAAGCGAAAGGCGATTTCTTTAGAAACAAAAAAAGCATTATGCTTATACAAACGTGATCATCCGCCAAAAGGTTGATGGAAACGTTTAATCTAGATGTCGACCGTTCAACTGTCACCAAAATAATAGCTGAATCAGAACGATGGATTAAAATGGATACTTCTGGTAACTGATGAAAGAAAGGAAAGAGACATTCACCAAGGTTAATGATGCCTTGAGCGAGTGGGTAACAAGTGCACTTCTTGCAAACCACATCATCAACGGCAAGATTTTACAAATAAAAGCACTCGAATTTGCTCAACGATTTCCTGAGGAAAACAATTTCAAAGCATCAGACGAATGGCTGGAGGGTTTCAAAAAGCGAAACAGTTTGTGCCAAGTTAGGTTGCAAGGTGAAGCAAATAGCGCGCCATTATCAATATTACCAGAAGAAAGAGATCGCCTGCGTGAAATAATTGGTAAGTTGATCACATGACCATTGTCTATAATCCCCACAAACCAGCTGACGAATGGGTGTGACTATAGACAGTAGTTGACTGTAAATAGAGTACATCATTTAAAGTTTACGAGACTGATTGGTAATGAATCTGTTCCTGAAAAAAAATCTGTAACTATGTTCGAGCTCCGTTCAATTTCAGATGATGTGTGCGCCTGAAATTGTTTTCATACACTCATGCGGTCAAGGTTATCTTGCTTTAAATATAAACATTGAATATGAGTTTAATGATTTTGTTTCCAAGGCAATCCAGCTGACATCCAATCTTTTGCTGAAGACGAGGTTATGGACCGAATTAAAGAACATTTATGGATTAGACATGTAATTATAAGGGTTAGTATCATAACGTCTGACAATCATTTCATTTAATTGACAGTCATTTCGTTTAATCGACAGTCATTCAATCAAGCAACTGGGCCGAGATCATTTGATGCTGGCTCATTTAGGTGAATGATCCCCCACCTGTCTCAATACAAATTTAAGACACACCGATTTAACTATATAACTTACCAAAACGACAACATTTACACATTGACGGTCATTTAATCGACAGCTGATTTCATCGACAGTCATTTTACCGACAATAAATTCGGAATTGACATACAGTATGTCAGCCTTTGGAATAATACGTTAGGTAAAGAAGAATGTTTGGAAGTTCATTTGAACGTACGGATAAGGTGCAGTATTTGAGTTTTTGACAATTTTGTTGTTGCTACTGATTATGACTTTGCGCATTAAAATGTTATTTCAGCATTAAAAATGGCTGCACGATCGCATCTCAACGAGCAGTTGAATATGACTAAGCCGGAGTTTGGTAGTCGTTTCCCGATCTCCCCGCCTCGGCCACTCTCCCTTCGCCCGCTGCTTCTCCACGCTAGCAGGCAAAGCAGGAAAAACATTCCGAGTTTCAATAACCGCTAATTTGGACAATGGCAAGCCTTCGTGTTGTAATAGACGACGTAGTGCTCCGGATTACATACAGGAGCTTTAAATATCTTGTAAGTGTTTTCTGTCTCCAGCAGTGAAGGCTCATGCAAGCATCTTTTGAGAGTGTTTTTACAGATTCTGTTCCAGTTTTCGGAGATGAGCTTTTGACTAACTTTTTTCTTCAGCTTTTGATAGTTTGTATATAATAACAACTGGCTTGTTGAAGATGTGAAATCAATTTTCATCACAAATTTAACCCATACTTATTAATCAATAAAAATTAGAAGTGCTTGTATATTTATTTATATATTCTGATGTGTAATTACAAACAACATAAAATTATATACGCGTTTGTTCAAATCAAATTAAAATGTGAGATGTAATTATTATGTGTAATTTTTGTGTAATTAAAATTTTTTGATGTGCAAGACTTTTTATTTTGTCTGGGTAGTGTATTATCTGGGATGGGCATAGGCACTGTATAATATATTAATATTAATATCATGTACCCTATTCACCACATACACAACCACATACTAATACACAGGCATGAGCACTGTAGCTTTTCAGTAAGAAAGAAGAGCATTTACAACTTAAGTTGTGGCCTGCTGCACTTTCAATACATCCAATAGACAAATAATATACAAAAGACTTCAAATGCACTCTGAAGTTTTCTTGCTAAGGCTGTTTTACCTGACAATGGCAGGCTTTACAGAAGGTTGATTGGATATTCACTTTTCATCTTGATAATCATATTCAAATGATATCCTGAAAAGACAATGAGGCCACAGGATTGCATTTTAATTGCTGATGATGCTGTTAATAATAAATAAAAAGACATACTCTATGTCCCCAATGCCTGAGTCATAAAGTCATTGCCTCTATTACTATCCTCTTCTCCAAGGATTTGGAGCTGCCATTGATCATAAACTTCTTTTGTTATAAGGCTGGATTTATATCATTGATTCAGTTTACAAGGTGTTGGTCAGTGTTCATAGCGGATAATGCTGCAGTGAGAAGATGTGCTGTGCAATGTGACTTGTAGTATGTATATGCAGAATGTGGCCAATGATAATTAATGCACAAAAATTTACATATGAAACGTAATCACATTTAATGACAAACGCAAGAATATTAATGACGATTCGACGGAGGCCATATAAATGATACATGAACATACGTATTTAAGAAATCCATTTGTTTAATAAAGCTAATTAGTTCTCGTCCAAACGACGTAATTAGATTCTTGATAAAATTGTGCAATGCGTTGTGACGACCGTCCTTTGCCGAGCTTTCGTTGTAAAGCGTGTACGTTTGTTTGGACCTGTTTATTTTTGAACGGGCTTTTCCAAATTTAGATCTAAAGCGCCGAGATCGCGTAAACTACGGACGTTGTCGTAAGCGCCATTAAACTAATTGAAATAAATTACATTTAGTACACTGGTAAATTACAGTAATTAGAATCTACATTCATACAAACCCGCGTTAATACATCTTCAAATTTTGCTAATTTGGGCGAGTCACTAGCACAATTGCTCATAACTAAAGATATTGCCTGCTCTACAACGGGTCTCAAGTCATCTTGCGAAATCCAGCAATTTTCTTGAAACGCCTTATATATGACCGTCTCGGCAATGATATGACGCGGTTCAGCATATTTCAGAAAGTTGTAAATTTTGGTAAACAAACTGTCAATCGACATATTGAGATCTCGAGTAAAATTTTACTCAATACGTATGTGTAGAGAGAAGCAAAAGACACTTGTAGGGGAAAAACTCAAAGTATATAAACGTTTATCTAATCAAGTTGCGGGACTTGGTATCACTTACAGGGAAGTCATGTGATCAAGAACATACCGTAACAACCGTCCAACGTCTTGTTTATATATGACGTCGATTGTTGTGATGAGATTTCGCGTTCGCGATAATACTGTCACTTGTTGTGTGATTTGCATAAACTTGTAAAAAAATTTTTTGACTACGCATGCTCCCAATCACCTTCACAAATACAACATCATCTCAAAGCTTAATATAATTCCACAACGAACATTCAACAACGATAACACGGATTATCGATGCTGGCCGCTCATCTACAACGGCCTCTTCTCCAATGCGAAAATACGACGTTGTTAAACGTATAACAAACAATTCTTTACCGTCACTCGTATTACGCACATACGACACAGCTCACGAGAAAGTTATCTAACGATGTGATTTTATCGACCACTGACTAAATGAAAAAATTCAAACACACGCCACCTATCTCACTGCGCATGTCTCGCTTCACAACAACTTCTTCAAAGTGTCAATACAACAATCAGCCTTTACATTACTCCATATTACGCAATAACGACAGAGGAATAACGTGGTAAGCAGCTAGGAGAAAGACACCAAGGTATACTCATTATTATATTTTAGACTCGTAAAACTGTATATGTAGGAGTAATGTCAAGTTGCAATCAATAGCAGTTACGGGGATGTATTGTTACTCGACATAATAATGGTCCAACGAGTAATGAGATTCTGGTAGAGAGAAAATGAGTGTGAATAGAATATTAAAAACGCTAACGTCTGTTAATGTTTCGATCAAACATGCTTCATTACTTAACATGATAAGATAGTAAATGGAATCGATAAACAGATCGCGCATAATATAATTTCAACTATTCCATTGATACATTCATTAATTTAATATACTAACATTAACATTCGAACAAGTTTGAATACATAATTGTTTACAATTAAAACAAAACTACCGTTGTCCTTGTATAACCGCTTCTACCATGCGAACTAAAAGCCAAACACATCGAAACAAAAGACTACATAGTAAACACGTCAACCTTAAAATTCCCCAGACAACAGATACCAACTCTGCGAAGCGTATCTCAAGTATCGCTAGTTTGGGAAATAAAATTGGCGTAAAACGGTGCTATAACATGCCCAACGTTGGTTGCCTTATTAAAGGTAAATAAATGTACACTGCATAAACTGATCAATTTAATTGTTCAGATAGATACCAATTGTATTTATTGTGTTAAAAAATAATCAGCAATGTTCTTTTACAATACACTTCTGCTTGAACTCGTATATTAGGCAAATTATTTCACACATGTTAGAGGTTTATTATTGTAATCTGGTAGTACTCTCTTCTTTCTTGTAACGATAATTCCAGTAGATGCAATGTCATCTATTTCATAGACGGTTAGACGTTGCTGTAAACCGAATAACAAGTTACTACGTTCGTCTCTAAAGAGCACTATAACGAATATTAGATTATTATCATTGTCGTGCCCTGCATGTAATATGTTGGTTGTAACTATTGAAATTTTCATTACACTTCCCACGATTAACTTTGAAGTAGCTTTTACGGAATTTCCTATAACTGAACTAGTGCTAAGAACTGTAGACGAGAGGTTTAACTAATTTCGTAAGACAATATATTTTAATTTAAAGGCGCTGTCGGGCAGGAAAGCACTAAGCTTACTGCTGACAATTAGTGTTCTTAACGTTAATCAGTCTTGTATGCGCTATTCTTAAACTTCAATATTGCATCTACTTTTTTATGAGATTGGTTTCAAAAGCTTACAAGTTGGAAAGTTATCCTACACTAAACAGCGTTAATCATATCCCGCGAAATCGATGGCAAGCTCGACTCCCATTTACCGTCGGTGCGAGCAAGCGTTTTACACTTTTGACCACGATAGAAACTTCACCAGGAAATGAACGAGACAATTATATCGTTTACTGAATTGCTGATTTTACTAGAATAAATGAACTATTCTTAGCGTTAGGAAGGGATATAAATTTCGCAAACTTGACCGGTCTGGCAGCATTTGTGCGCCGTCACACAACCTGAATTGACTGCATAGTACTAGCACAGTCTATTTCGGATGCCTTGCGTACTTTTCCCGGCGTTCTGAAAAATTTTTTTTTTTACTGTATGTGATAATCGTCATTATACTAGAATGAAAGAAGATCAATATAAGTTATATCACAGAGCAGCTGAACAAGGAGACGCCAGTGCTCAATTCAATATTGCATTATGTTATGACAATGGAACTGGGGTAGAAAAAGATGAACAACAAGCAGTTGAATGGTATAAAAAAGCTGTTGAACAAGGACATGCCAGTGCTCAATTTAATCTTGCTGTACATTATAAAAATGGAATTGGGGTAGAAAAAGATGAACAAAAAGCAGTTGAATGGTATAAAAAAGCTGTTGAACAAGGACATGCCAGCGCTCAATTAAATCTTGCTGTACATTATAAAAATGGAACTGGGGTAGAAAAAGATGAACAGCAAGCAGTTGAATGGTATAAAAAAGCTGCTGAACAAGGACATGCCAGTGCTCAATTTAATCTTGCTGTATGTTATGAAAATGGAACTGGGGTAGAAAAAGATGAACAGCAAGCAGTTGAATGGTATAAAAAAGCTGCTGATCAAGGAGATGCCAGTGCTCAATTTAATCTTGCTGTATGTCATGAAAATGGAATTGGAGTAGAAAAAGATGAACAGCAAGCAGTTGAATGGTATAAAAAAGCTGTTGAACAAGGACATGCCAGTGCTCAATTTAATCTTGCTGTATGTTATAAAAATGGAACTGGGGTAGAAAAAGATGAACAGCAAGCAGTTGGATGGTATAGAAAAGCTGCTGAACAAGGAGTTGCCAGTGCTCAATTTAATCTCGCTGTATGTTACAGAAATGGAATTGGAGTAGAAAAAGATGAACAAAAAGCAGTTGAATGGTATAAAAAAGCTGCTGAACAAGAAGATGCCAGTGCTCAATTCAATATTGCATTATGTTATGATAATGGAACTGGGATAGAAAAAGATGAACAGCAAGCAGTTGAATGGTATAAAAAAGCTGCTGATCAAGGAGATGCCAGTGCTCAATTCAATCTTGCTGTATGTTATAAAAATGGAACTGGGGTAGAAAAAGATGAACAGCAAGCAGTTGAATGGTATAAAAAAGCTGCTGAACAAGGAGTTGCCAGTGCTCAATTTAATCTTGCTGTACGTTACAGAAATGGAATTGGGGTAGAAAAAGATAAACAGCAAGCAGTTGAATGGTATAAAAAAGCTGCTGAACAAGGAGTTGCCAGTGCTCAATTTAATCTTGCTGTATGTTATGAAAATGGAACTGGAGTAGAAAAAGATGAACAGCAAGCAGTTGAATGGTATAAAAAAGCTGCTGAACAAGGATATGCCAGTGCTCAATTTAATCTTGCATTATGTCATGAAAATGGAATTGGAGTAGAAAAAGATGAACAAAAAGCAGTTGATTTATATCAGAATGCAGTAAAACAGGCACATTTATCAGTACAAGTTAAAAACAATAAACATTATAGTGAAGTGGCTGGATTAAATTTTGGAATTGAGTCAGTAACTACTTTGTGTCAATTAGCAGCTAAAAAAGGAAATGTTTATGGACAATATATTCTTGGTCTGTATTATGAGAATGGAGTTGGGGTAGAAATGGATATTAAAAAGGCACTTGAGCTATATGAAAGTGCAGCCGAACAGGGATATAGTAAAGCACGAAATAAGGTATATACTTTTTATGAAAACGGGTCAGAAGTGAAGGAAAAAATTAGACAAAAGATTGAGTTAATAAAACGCAGTTTGGTAACAGATTAGCTATAGATATAAAATTGAAAAGTGTTGTTATTAATATTGACAAAATTGACATTTGTCATATTAATATATGGAGAATAAATTGTTGAAAAGATTTTTAATTAATTTATTTATTATTTAACAAGTATATTGTAAACTATCTTACAATTATAAGTTGTCAGTTATGTTCTGTATGGAATATGTGTGTTTTGTTCTAAATTTGACTGGTATGATGCGGAAAAGTATAACTTGACAATATTATAAAATTGTTTCAGTTTTTAGCAATGATTGTAATAACCAGTTTCTTATTCACTTTGGATTTATTTGATTGTCAAAAATTTATTCGATGTAATTTGGATTGGGTAACAGCACTTGTATCACGAGCGTTTGATGGTCTTGCGGGTCGGATGTCTCCAGCAAATATTTCAAACATTAAATATTTAACTCGGGAAGCCCATATTAACATATGTAATTTGGCCGAAAACTTTGATTAGCATGCACATGTAGGGATTTAATCTGGAGTAATTCCAGTCACTCCAGTCCTAATTTTATGACCAGAGTTAAGACATTAAAATTGTTACACTTGACGTTAAACTAATATCAAACCGCTCTACGTACATTAACATTAGCTTATAGTTGATAATAATAATAATAATGCGTTAAACAATCTGTGAAGCAGCTTTGTGCTTAATAATGAGGCGTAACTATATATTTATTGGTCAAATTTGATAGCGTATTACTGCCACTTTATCTATAATTTGTCCTCAGAGAAGAACGTTTTGTCTTATTGTAACGATTAATGTAGCTATCTTTATCTAATCATTACTAAAACGTGCAATATTCGTCTTCATTCTGTAACGGTATTCCATAATTTTCTATATTGATACGTGGGGTGGCTGAAAAGTTCTGATCGTGAATTTTTATCTTGACAAGTGCCGGTCTCACTTAAAAGTAAAGATAAGGATTCGAAGCTTGAGCTTCTGAGGAACAAGT